ACAGTCTGTCGCTCCGTAGCAACGGAATGGGAGAAACTAATAGAATAACACATGCATACATAGACAGCATATAAGCTGCGTTCAGGCAGCGCGCTATCCGCGCTATTGTATTCCATCGCTACGACGCGATTGTGCACCCGATTAGCGCTTTCATTGGTGTAGTATCGATGCTTTCATTGTGCATGGTGTTCAATGCACTCTGGATCTGATAGTCTTGTACCGTTCGTCTGATAGTCTTGCACTGTCCGTTTCTTCATGGCGTGGCTACAGCGTTCAGCACATGCTTGATACCATAAGTACCACAAAACGTGCGAAACGTCCGAGACGTCCGAACGCCGTCACTCTGTTGCTTATCCTGGTAAAAACTCCGAACAAGTAGCTGTAACTAAGCAAAACTTTCACAACATAACAATTTTTTTAACTTTTCACTGGTTCTATCACCGAAGTTAGTGAATGCATTCACCATAACCAGAAGGAACTTATTTCCCTTTTGGCTAGTTTCGAATGGGCCGACATGATCGATATGCAACGTGTAGAAAGGCACCAGCACCTTATCTACGTTGTTTAACTTGCATTGTCGTTTACCCGTGTTATGTTTATAGTATGCGCAGTTCAAACATGCAGTAACATATTTATTAACAAATCGCCTCATTCCTGCAAACCAGTAATTTCTTTTTATACGCTCCAGCGTATTTTCAGCGTCTAGATGGCCTGCGTCATCGTGGCACAATCTGCAAATTTGCATTCGTGTTCCCCGCGGCACGACCCAGACACTTCTATTCTCACTCAATTTGCGATACAATTTATTGTCTCGGATTAGGTACTCCTCAAAGTAATGTTTAGTCTCGTGCGTTAACTTTTCTTTTAACAAGACACTCCGGATCCGTGACAGCTGCTCCTCCTGCAATTGCGCGGCGAGTATCCAGTAATATCTACCTGCACCACTTTGAACGTTAGCGACACGATTTCAACTAAGCGCATCTGCGTGTGCCATCTTCGATCCTGCGCGGTATTGAACTTCAAATGTATACTCCTGCACCTCGAGCCACCATTGGCCAATCCGAAGTAGTAAATCTCGCTTCAAGAACGTTGCGCGTAGCGCGCTACTGTTAGTTACAACTTTAAAATGCAGATCCAACAGATGCACTCTAAACTGCCGCAAAGCTAGTACGACCGCCATTGTTTCCAACTCGTACAAGTGGAAATAGCGTTGATCTGCCGTTGTCTACTGAAATATGCCACTGCCGTCATTTATTCGTTTATTTGTTGCAACAGTACGGCGCCTACACCGACAGCACTTGCATCGGTGTTTATCTCAGTTTTTCGATTTGGATCGTAAATTGCCAACACTGGTCGAGTTACCAGCTTGTCCTTAATAGCGGCAACGGCTTCGGGCCTCTGCACAAACTTTTTCGTAACACGTAACGTTATGTTAAGTACTAATTTGTGCGTTAAATAAAATTCAAGTTTACATACAAAACTAAGTTTATGACTAGTACTGAACAGTACGTTACGTTAAGTATTAGTTTGTGCGTTGAATGAAGTTCACATACAAATGTAAGTTCACGGCCAACTTAACATAACGTAACGCGTTACGAAAGAGTTTGTGCGGAGGCACTTCATCTTGCTTTTCCGTCCATGACCAAAGTTCTTCCTAGTTAAACTTAGTTAACGGCTCCGTCAAAGTTGCGAAATTAGCAATTAATCGCCTAAAGTAACTAGCAAGCACGAGAAATTGTCGCACGTGTTTGATGGAGCGAGGAGCTTCCATTTTTACTATCGCTTCTATCTTGTAGCACCCGGGCCGCACTCCTCACTTCTTTCTCTACCCAAGTATTCGATTGATTCCGCGAAAACTAAACATTTTTCCAATTTAAAAGTTAAATAATGCTTGCGCAATAGATTTAATATCTGCTGCAACCAGTTCGTGCTTTTCTATTAGGTATACACCTTTGCTTCCGCCGTTTTTTTTCAAAATTCAAAGCTTTATTGTAAAAAACTGATTATACATTTATGTTTTAAAGTATTATCCATTGTTTTTCACTACTTTCTCCCACCTTTCTGGCAGCAATCGGATCCCGCGTTGAAAGAACTGGTCATTTTTTGAAGCAATCCACGAATCGATCCAATTTTGGACTTGTTCATAAGACTGGAAGTGCTGGTCTTTCAGGCCGTGTGCCATGGATCGAAATAGGTAATAGTCAGAGGGAGCAACGTCTGAAGAATACGGCGGGTGGGGTAAGATTTCCCATTTCAACGTTTCTAAGTATGTTTTGACAACTTTTGCAACATGAGGCCGAGCATTGTCATGTTGCAAAATAACTTTATCGTCTTTTAAAGTATTGCGGCCGTTTTTCTTTCAATGCTCGGCTCAAACGCATTAATTGCGTTTGATAAAGATCTTCTGTGATTAGTTGAGACGGTTTTAACAGCTCATAATATATTACACCAAGCTGGTCCCACCAAATACAGAGCATGACCTTGAAACCGTAAATATTCGGTTTAGCCGTCAGCGCAGAAGCGTGGCCGGGATATCCCCATGATTTTCGGAGCTTGGGGTTATCGTAAAAATCCCATTTTTTGTCATCAGTCACAATGCGATGCAAAAATCCTTTCCGTTTTTGTCTTTCAAGTAGCTGTTCACAGATACAGAAACGCCGTTCAACATCTCTCGGCTTCAACTTGTATGGCACCCAATATCCTTGCTTCTGGATCATTCCCAGATTGTTTAGGCGTTTTGAAACTGCTTGTTGGCTCACTTGCAATAATCTTGCCAACTCCTCTTGACTTTGACACTTCAGTCTTCATTGAGCAAATGCTCTAATTCTTCATCTTCAAAAACTTTTGATCTTCCACTACTATGCCGGTTTTCTACGTAAAAATCACCGCTCTTGAAGCATTGAAACCACTCACGACATGTTCTTTCACTCATAGCAGCCTCACCATAAGCGTCTGAGAGCATTCGGTGAGCCTCAGCCGCAGATTTTTTAATATTAAAAAAAAAAATTAACACCTTCCGCAAATGACGAGAATTCGGCTCATAAGTTGACATTTTTATTCGAGAATAACTATATGATGTAAACACAAATCAACTACTGATGCTATCAGGTTATGTTCACAAGATACTAAAGAGTATTGCAAGTCATCTGTAATGTATGTACTCGACGTCTACTTGTCGTTAATGGCATCTATAGAAAAACGGCGGAAGCAAAGTTGTGTACCTAATATATTGTTCTAGACGGTATGATAATATCATCTAGATAAGGAAAAGCTACCGAGTTATTTAGATCTTCCACTACTCTATCCATCAGCCGTTGAAATACGATGAGCGCGTTGGTCAGACCGAAAGGCATGCGTAAGAACTCATAAGGACCTTCCGGTGTCACGAACGCCGTCTTTTCGATCGAATCATCAGCTACCAATACTTGGTAACATCCCAATGCTAACTCTAATAACGTGAAATAGCGGTTACCGTCTAGTTCATCTATTTGATCTTCAATTCGCGGCATGAGGTATTTGTCTTTGATCGTGATTGCATTCGCCTTAAGGAGTCAACACACATGCAATACTCGTTTGTCTTTTTCTTTACCGGGCTTGCATATGATGAACTTGATTCCCGGATTATTTTGTTTGCCAGCAGTTTGTCAACGATCTCCCGTAATATCCGCTATTCCGACTCGGCCAAGCGGTACGGACGGTAGAATACGACATGTCGGATGTACAGCGTATGCTCAGCGACGCGGCGTTGGGTTTGCCAAGCTTACCAAGCTTGCCAAGTTTTTCCCCTACTCTTCAACCGCCCTCGCGTCGCGGCGCGCGCAGCACGAGATTCGTGTCTCCTACCGGCCGTTGCTGCGCCCTCTTCCGCGCCAACTCACACCCTTCATCTCGTAGTGCCTTTTTCTTAAACGCGGCGCTTGATTTTTTCACACTTTTCTGTTCAGAATGACCCGATCTATCTACACTTGTCGGCTTTATAGTTCGTTGTCAGATACCCTGTATCTTGTCATAGTAATATATATGTTAGAAATGTATATTATTAATAAATAAGAAAGTAAACCCGATGAGCCTTAAGTCTAGGTGATGGAATAAAAAACAATGATTTATGTGGTGTATAAATAAATTGACGAGTTCAAATCTGCAGCCGCTAAAGTGAGTCAACAAACAACAGCGAGAATAAATATATCAATAACAATGACACTCGTACTAAACAGTAAGATGTCAATATCTTGAGAATTCTTAATTGCAGGATTAAAAACAGATAAAGTCAGACTGCTATCGCCGACACACAAAAAATGCGGTCAAAATTTCACTGCAAATGTTTCAAAGCATTGTTTTATCTTTATTATTTGTTAAATGTAGATTAAAGATAAAAAGATGCTTCAAAACAGGTGCAGTGAGACTTTGACCGCACTCAAAGAAATGGGAACAAACATGACTGTCTTATATCGCAATCAAACAAAAAACAAAAAAAAATTGACTTACTTTAGCGGCTGCAGATTTGAACTTTTCAATTTTGTTGCTGAAGATGATCACAAATATACTGATCGAAACATCCAATATACCACATATAAATCATTGTTTTTTATTCCACCACCACCCTGAACTTAAGGCTCATCGGAAAATTTACTTTCTTATTTATTTATTTTACTGAGCTATATTTATTACTTTTATATTATTAATATTTATATTATTATATTACATATATATTATTACTCTTTATATTATTATAAATATAATTGCAGCATGTGACGACAATTGGTATGGGTATAATTGTGCAAACAAGTGCGGTTTATGCAAATCTTTTGGATGTAACAAAGTAACTGGAGAATGTATTAACGGATGTGTTAATAACTTGAAAATATTTTACTTGCCACCATTGTGTCATATAGGTATGGTAGAAGTTTTTCTGATTTACGATACACTACTATGATTATAAGTGTCAGACACTTCTGTCATTCTTATAATAGCTGTTAGACAAATGATGTTATGTTGAATTTTAAGGCTTAGATAAGCTCACAGAACCTGAAATTGTCTCTATCACTTCAACAAGCATCCGAATTAAACATCCTATAGTGTGGAAAGAGGAATATGAAAAAATACGAATAACTTATTCGTGTGCTATTACGGTAACACTACTTTTGTTTTATACTAGAATTGAAAAAAAAATTTAAAAATGTGTATCTTTGATGATAAGTTATCAGTACCAAAAATTGTCTTTCTAATCTATTACTCAAGTCATAGTTTGACGTATTTGGAAAAAAAAGTGTAATAAACTTTTCTATTATATTTTCTACAGGGAGAAAATGATTACATCTTTACGCAATCGTGGAATAGACTGTTTCAAAATATGACATATTTGATCGGATACTTCAACAAGTTAAATCCTGGTTCTGTTTATTCAGTCAAATGTATGCTACTTGCAGAGAATGAAATAATTGAAAGCAAATGGCAAAGTGTGGAAACTGATTGTGAACGTAAATAGAGATTTTTACTTTTTTTTGCGCCTGTATCTATACTTCTCGCAAAGAACGTCCACAGCATTATTTCTGGCACTATGCAAAGAGAACACATAAAAAGTTTACAAAATATACTGCTTTCTTGATACTTTATAATCAAATATGCATCCAAATTGCTGTATACTTATATCATGCTTATCTTTTTTGTATCTACCTATCTACTTACATTCTTATCTTCTAATCACATCCCGCATTCGTATATTGTTTTCTATCACTTAATTTTGTGGTTATGTTCAGTTCTTATAGATGGGAGCACTACGAGTTTAATTTATTTTTTTAAACTTAGTCGATGAATATAATTGGTCGTGTAAAGTCGTTGGCTGGAATATATATTGTTACGCTCGCGGCAGCGGTTCTGTCTCGTCGCCGATCTCCGCGATTCGCGCACACGACCGCGGAAATGAGAAGACGTGAGTTTTCTTAACAACACTTTATTAAGCTACGAATTATTACAAGAATTATAGGATCGTCTGTAACGCGTCGTGACAGCTTCGCGTCCGCGATTCGTCTCTCCACAACAATAACTCTGTCGCCCGGCAACGAACAATCGCGCCGAGCGCACGCCGTTCACGCGGCTCACGCACTCGGTGTCCGTCGCGTAACAATATATATACATACGTGTGTATATACGTGTGTATATGCGTGTGTATACTAAAACTTCATTTATTTTTCTACCCATGAAACATGAGCACTTCACTTATTTTCCTTTTAGAGGGGATCCCACCACTGCTGTAGAGTAAAGGTGATTTTCCATTACGGTTGCAGTGTGATTGACTGCTGCAAATCATGCCGTTTCCCGCGCCTCGTTTCCCAGACGGCACAATGATGTATTTAAGATGTCTTGAAGATGTCTCACAGAGACTTTGAATGTGCAAAAGATATCTTGTTGAGACATTTTCGAACGAGTAATGATGTTCAAATAATATCTCAGGGATATGCCTGAGACTGCTAATGTCCACATCAAAAACATGCAAATGATATCTCTTGCTATGACTACATATATTTCTAACTATGACTACACAATTTGCGATAAGTCAAAGACTTAATCTGTGTTTTTACAGGCTTTATTTACATTTTCGTGATTATTTACATTCAACCGTTCGCTGGAATGATGAGGTAGAGTAATCGTTATTTCGTCGCAATGATCAATGGACATTTTGCCACATATTTCAAAAAATATGTATCACAGTAAAAAACGTTTCAGACAAAAGTTACTCACTTTTTGACGAGAATTGAGGATCTGTGGAGAAAACTTTAGGTTTCTATTTAAAAAAATAGAGTTCACCTTCAAATGACCTTGAAAACGTTCACAAACTTAAAAAACATTAATGCAGTACTCTTTCTCCCTCAAAATTTAACAACTTTTGTCTGAAACATTTTTTCATAAAATACTTTGTTTTTGAAATATTCGGTTGTCTCAATTTAAATGCCCCACCTTGTATATATAGACATATTTTCCGCATAACATCTAGCAAATGGATTTACACGACCAATTATATTTCATCGACTAAGTTTAAAAAACTCAAGAGCCCGAGATGATTCTCAGTTTAATACTAATTGTTTATTTTTTTTTATTATTGAATCATCTAGCTACTTTATCTATGCTATGTTCTTTTTCAGTCGCGTTTTTTTGAAGATTTATATTTTTCTACAGTGTGCATAAAAGAAGACTGTGTCATAATACTAAAATATTGAGAATATATTATGTGTTAAATAGTATTTCATCAATTGCGTTTATTACCCAGCTTCAATCCCACACTTGGTAGCAGAGCGTGGTTCGAAAGTGTACCTTTTTTGAGATTGTTGAGTTGGAATCTCACGAACGTGGAACAACTTGATGACACAATTTACTTCCTTAGGAGTGAAAAAATTGAAAGAATCTTAAGAGCTAAGAAGCTTTGAAAAAAAGTGTTAAATATGAAGCACAAAAGCCCGGAAGAAGGCGTGAATGACTATGATGTGAAATTTAAACTGTGGAATGAGTGAGACGATGATAATTACGCAGCACGTACGGTAATTATTAATACTATGAGTACAGCGCAATTGCTAAAATACAGTCATGAAAAAACCGCGGATAAATTGTGAAGTTTGATTAAGAATAATATGGCAGCGGAATCAAAGGACTTAAAGACAAGATCGCTATGTGAATTGTCGAATCAACGAATGAAAAGGACGAGATCATAGACGCGTATGTGAACAGAGCTGAAGCATTGCAAAATCAGTGTGCAACTTGATAATGATAAAAGAGTGTGAAAATTATATGAATTGAGAATGTATGTTATTAGAAAATTAAGGCACGAGTTTGATCAAAATGTAGGAGCATTGGAAACTCAAAAGGAAATAACACTTAATGATATACGCTACGCACTAAAACAAGAGGAATTAAGAAGAGACAAACGAAAAGAAGATAAAACATTAAGAGAAAAATATGTTAGAAAAGCAAGAGAGAAATCGAAAGATGATATTGTGTGCTACAATTGCGGAATAAAAAAACACACTTCGAGCGAATGTAAAAATAGGCAAAAATGTTTGAACTGTCAAGGATTAAACTATATTGCGGCAAATTGTACGGAACCAAAGAGAAACATATCGGGAGGAAGAGGTTACAGAGGTATATCAAGAAGAAGAGGATCAGGACAAGATTATGGACGGACAAAGGTTACATTGAAAACTACAGACGAGGCAGTATTATCAGTAAGAGATAGAGCACAAGTGAGAAAAACGTACAGTGAAAAGGAAAATAAAAAGAAGGTGCATAAAGACTATATGTAGAGTTATTAGATTCAGGCGCGACGAGTCACATGGCGAGTACCGAAGTTATGTTTGAAAACATAGTAGAAGATAAAAGGGATATTTCATTAGCTGACAGGAATGGAAAGAAATTAATATCTAATGGGCGAGGAGAGATAATAATGATACAACATTCAAATGACGATAGAATACTACTCAAAAACGTATTGTGTGTACCAGATATTAACATGAATCTCTTATCTGTAGCAAAAATAACGGAGTATGGATATAATGTGAAATTTGATAAACATGAAACCATTGTCTACAAGAACGGAGACGAAATAAAAATGAAAGCTCTAAGACAAGAAAATGCGTACTATGTGAGATCGTCAGTAGTGGAAAGTGAGACAGCAGCAACAGTGAATGATATCAATGTTTAGCACAAAAGGTTTGGACATACGAATAAGAAACTTATTGAAGAGATGAAGAAAAAGGATCTCATGGTAGGAATGAGTGAATACAGAGAGCAGAGGCACTGCGAAGGCGTGCCTAAAAGGAAAAATGTGTAGAAAAACACACTCTAGATTGACAAGTAGAAAAACGAGTACTATTATAGAGCTATGGCACATTGATTTGATTGGTCCGACCCTTCATCACACGGTGGTAAAATTTGTATTTTCACTATTTTAGATGATTATTCCAGAGTGATATTTATCGAACTATTGGAAGAAAAAAGAGAAGCAGCTGAAAAGTTTAAAAAAATTAATTGTTTAGAAGGAAAACCAATCCGGACTAAAGTTGAAAATAATAAGATCTGATGGAGGAGAATTTACCAGGAAAAAATTAGGAGAGTGGCAAATAGGAAAAAGAATAAAACATGAATTTAGCCATGCTAGGACTCCACAGTGTAATGGAATGGTAGAAGAGCAAACAGATTTGTAATAGAAATGACCAGAGCAATAATGGCGGATTCAAAATTGCCACTTGATTTTTGAGGTAAAGCAACGTATATGGCAGTACATATAATATTAAAAACAAGAGCAAATCAACCGTGCATGGGAAGACTCCACATGAGATGGAGAATTTCAAACACAAAGTTTTCACTCTATGTGGAATGGAAGAAAACCAAATTTTAAGCATATGAAAAGATTTGGCTGCATATCTGACTGAATAAAGAAGAGCGAAGAAAAACGTTTGAATCTACGGTTATCAAGAAAATTCGTAGTATATAATATGCAGCAAATAATACTTACAGAGTTTAAATTCCAGAAACAGGAAAAATAAAAACGGATTGTGATGTTACGTTTGATAAGAGCATAAATGGATGTGAACCGTTGAATGGAGATAAAAAACAAAAACGTATAGTAAATAAAAAATTTATAATTAGAGCAATAGAAATGGATTCAGAGAATAATGAAAAGATAGAAGAACAAAATGATATTTGTGAATATGAAAAAGATAAAAGAACAGAATCATAAAATAGTGAATATGAAGATGCAGAAATGGTAGAATTTCATAAGAGGCATGAGATAGAAGACAGAAATGAAGATAGTACAAATAAAGAAAATGAAGAGTGAATTAGAGAAGATGAAGATGTAAATGAAATATAAGTGCAACCAATAGAAATAAAAAAGAAATACCAAAGGAATATCAAAAGGAACTACAAAAAATGTGATAGAAATGCGAAAAAATTTAAGGCATAAAGAGGAAGAAAGAAAAAGAAAACAAGAAAATGTTAGAAAATTTGAGAGAATTAAAAATCAGCAGTCTGCAATGACAAGTATAGATGAAGACATCTCGAATAATAATACGTGAGGCAGAAAAATCAAACGATTGGATTCAGTGAAAACAAGCAATCTGTGAAAAATTGACGTCAATGAAAAAACATGAAGTATGGAACATTGTGCTTCGACCAAAAAATGAGAGAGTCATCAAATGCAAATGAGTATTTGAAATAAAAGAAGATCCGATTATAGGACAACGACGGTAAAAAGCTCAACTAGTTGCATTAAGATGTAACGTCCAGGAGTAGATTACGGAGAAACGTTTGCTTCAGTAGTAAGAACAAAAACGATAAGACTGTTATTTAGCACGAGTGCGAAAAAAACAAGATGATAAAACTCTATAACGTAAAAACAGCGTTTCTGCATAAAAAATTAAAAGAAAAGATATTTATGGAATTACCAGATGAAATACAAGTCAGTAAGGAACAAGTGTGTAAAGTAAAGAAGAGTATATATGAGCTAAAACAAGCTGAAAAGTGTTGGCATGAATTTCTTACCAATGTTTTAATAAGATGTGGATTAAATCAGTTTAAGGCAAACCAATGTTTATTTTAAAAGAGAGAAAAATAGATTCTTGTACTGCAAAATACATGTGGATAATATGTCAACAGTGTCAAACTATGATAAATTTGAGAAGAGCTACAGTGACGAGATAAGAGAATACATAAACATTAAAGATTTTGATGAAGCAAAAGTTGTGCTAGAAATGCAAATGGATCACAAAAAAAGAAAACTATTCGTACATCAAAAAAATATATTGAAAACTTACTTCAATTGTATGGAGATGAGAGAATGATGCTGTAAAGATGCCAATAAATACAGAAACAAAGTCTGAAAATTATGAAGAAAGTAAGAAAGCTGATATTGAAGCGTATCAAGAGTTAATAGGAAAACTCATGTACTTAAGTGTACACATACACGACTAGATCTGTCATTTGCGCTGAGTTATCATACTTCAATAATCTAAGAGAAATGCACATGGCGGCGTTAAAAAGAATTTTATGGTACTTAAAAGAAACTTTTGATCATCGCCTGAAGTTTAAAAGGGGGAACTCAGCAGTAAGAATAGACTGTGAGTCAGATGCATCATGGGATTGAACAGAAAATGCAAAATCTTTTACCAGACTATTATTATATGTAAACGGAAACTTAATACAGTAGAGAAGCAGAAAACAATCCATGGTTGCATTGTCATCAACAGTAAGCGAATTGGAGGCTATATTGAAAGGACTAAAAGAAATAGTGTGGAGTTTTAGATTGATACATGAAATTAAATCTTCGGAAAAAACATCAAGAGAAATTGTGATAATTTGAACGCTGGTAAACTGGCAAACGATAGTAATTTCAAAACAAAATCAAAACTGAACCGAAGATGTCACTACATTTGTGAGACTGTAAAAAAGGAAAATATTATTTTGAACCATGTACCCAATGACAGTATGACAGCAGATTGTCTAACAAAGCCATTAGGGGCTTCGACTTTGTTTAAACATATAAAGAAGATAATGAGTTCTACGAAGTGAAAAAAATAAGGAGCCGGATGGTGGAGTATTGTTTCTTTAATCACTTAGTTTTGTAATTATGTTCAGTTATTATAGATGGCAGCACTACGAGTCTAATTTATTTTTCCTACTATTGAGCCATCTAGCTAATCTATTGGGAGTACAAATTAGTTCGATCCGTTTCCAAAAGATGGCTGTTGTGAATGGTTTATAGTGACAGTTGATTTTGACGGTTTTAGAGAGATTAGACATCTGCTACTGATATTCAGCTTATATCGGTTTGACTTTTATAGAAAAACCTTTATTTTTACTGTGTTTGAAACATCGAATTTTGTGTTAACCACGCAACATTTGCGGGAGGTTTTAATTTTCTGCTTTAGTTGAAAGAAAAGTGCAACTGACGCCCATCGAATGCTTGTCGAAGTTTCTGGTGATACTGCTCCAATTAATAAATCATGTAGGAGATGGTTTCGACGTTTTAAAGATGGAGATTTCAACGTTGAACCAAGCCTCGCTCTAGACAGCCAAAAAAATTCGAAGACAAAGACTTGGAGGCATTACTCGAAAAAGATCAGAGTCAAACGCAAGAGGAGCTTGCAGAATCATTGGGAGTAACTCAACAAGCTTTTTTTGTACGATTGAGAGCCATGAAATGATTCAAAAACAAGGAAATGGGGTGCCTTATTAACTGAAACCGAGAGACGTTGAAAGGCAATTTTTTACTTGCAAGTTGCTGAAAGACAACAAAGAAAAGGTTCTTTGCATCGGATTGTGACTGGAGATAAGAAGTGGATATTCAAAGACAACTCCAAGAAGAAAAAATACTACGCTAAGTCTGGTCAATCGTTGCCATCGACCTCAACATCAACACCAAAGCCGAACATTT